ATATATAGATAGATAGTGTATATGATTTAACCAGGTAGGTCTCCCTTAAATTTATATTTTTGTGGGAGACTTTAAAGTGTCCCTTACAAAAGGAGATTTTAAGGTCTAAATTTTTTTACCTACACATATTTATTCCACTCAATTAATGTGTGATTTATTTATTTTCTATTATAAGTTTTATATCGTGATATATATCGTTACCGCCACTCAGCATAATGTATATCGTGATATGAATTTTTTGCCATATCGCACATTCCTACGAGCCGCGCATTGCGGCTGACTTTTGTTTTCTTTACCTCTCTCTCTTTCTCTGTGTGTAGGGAGGGGAGCTCTGAGCTCACCCTACATGCCTGTTAGCAGAAAACAGCAGGTACAGGAAGCGACAGTGGCCAAAATACCTCAGAAACTCGCCCAACTAAGCAAACTCTGTGAGATTCAGCGTTTTATTCTGGATTACTTTGGTTAATTCTGCGATTCCGTCTGCGTTTCCTTAGCCACTTATAAACGGAAGTGGAGCAGGAGAAGATGGATTCTGATTGGCTGTTGTCGCGCACATTTCCGCCATGTTTGATCGAGTAAGAGGCTCACAGCTGATCATCGTGATTGACCTGATTTTTTTTCTTGATCAATAATCGCGAGCAAATAATCGCCCAGCCCTAATGTATATGCTCCAAAAAAAGCTACCGAAAGAATTATTTCCATTATACATCTTCAGTGTTGAACAATGTCCACAGGTTGTCTACAACTTTATAGTGTAAAACATTTAGGTGTAGTTTTACTGTATGTTGGGTTTTATAAAAAGGGAAAAAAACTTTTAGAAAATAGTCTGCCCAACTTGGAGAAACAAAGCACATCATTCTGTGGATTTACAGTGAATCCAATGTTAAGTTTTAAGCCTGAAATATTGTGTCTGCTCTGAAGACTGCCCTTTACTTTTTGCATATTTGTTCATTTAGTACACACCAGCAATTAATGTAAACTCATGCACATCTCTTCTTATGTAACGATTCAATAGATCACAATTATCAGCTATCAGTGTCTTACTTCCACTAGCACTACTTTACTAGACTAGAGGTGCACTGATCAACCAGCTGGCCAATTTACCACAGATCTCCTTCATTTTGGGAGACCAGAGATCAGTGGAAAAGATCAGCTTCTCATCTACCTCCATAAAAGTCTGAAAACCAGCCACTGTCCCCTTTTGCTCTGCTGTGAGCTCTCCTAAGGTCCAGTTAAAACAAGTTTGTATTGTTTCAAAGTAATGTTTTTCAATAAAATAAGATTGGAACACTGAAGGTGTATTGTGACCTTAAAATAAATGACAGTGTCAGTTATTTAAAAGGCACAGTGTGTAGGATTTTGTCTTTTAGCCGAAATTGAGATAATCACTAAAGACAATGATAAAAAACATGTCTAATCATTGCAGACAAAGACCTTGTTATATTTTTTTACCTTATAAAAACCTGTTTATATCTCCATGGTCGCGGGTCGCCACCACAGGCAGCCGCCATCTTGCACCGCCATCTTGTCTACGAAGGCTCATGAAGGACAAACTGCGGTGGCGGCGTCAAAGACGGTTTTAGTTGTAATACTATAAATGTAATATTTGTTGTCTGTCATTGTAGCTGGGATAYTTTTACTTATTAAAGCTCATAATCTTACCACTTGAAACATCACTAGCCCTGAAGCTGCTGGTAGACATCGCGGTTGGAATTATCAAAGGTTTTTGACACCTGAGAGACACTGTAGCAACTCCTTTGTGTTTGGAAGCTGGGGTAGGGGTGGGGGGAGGACCAGGGAGGATGACTCAACCACTCAACCACTAGATGTCGCTGAAAACAACAAATCCTACACACTGTGCCTTTAAAGAAATTGATATTGTCCAAAATCAGAATCGGGAGGTCAGACTTTTTAAAGATTGATGATCTGCCAGAAAACTGCTGTCGGTGCACCCCTACTATACCTATGTAATCGCTTTTATTTCCTAAAATCATCATCAACAAATCCATCCGCCCATCTCCTGATTTATTTCTGTACACACCTCATTTGTTTGGAGCCATGAGGAGCTGGTGCCTGTCTCTAGCAGACTATGAACTAGAGGCAGGTTTGACCGTGGATCTGTCTGCAGTCACACACACCCCTAAGAACAAGTCAGCATCTCCAAATGTAGAAGAAAACCAGAGTACCCAGAAAAACCCTGAACATCCTTTAGGAGGACATTCAAACACCACACAGAAAGGCCCCACCTGAACACACAACCTGTTGTTTTCTGAAGGTCTTTCAAAGTTTTTCTTTGGGCTCTGATCGCCTTTTCACTCTTTTTATCCAGTCCTGACCATGACGGCATGCTGTGCAGCCTGTGCATAATAAAGAAAATCCAGGAAAGACTGGACACAAGATCTGATAGATGAGACATCCTTTAATTTATCTTCTATTGTTTATTAAGTTTTCAGCTAATAACTTCTCTGGAATTGCCTTGTTGGTCCTAACACTAATTTATGTCTTTCAAAATGGGTTATCTTTGCCGTTTGTCACACATTTAAGAAAATAAAATGTAACAAATGGTGGTTTTCTGGCAGGCTGCTAACAGGAAGCTACTAAAGATATGCTGTGTAAATTTGACTCTTTTTCTAAGCTTCAACACAACAAGGGCTCATTCTTTGAATCGAGGAGCCTTTTTTTTTATAACTAAATGAGTCAGAGTAGTTTATGAGGCTTAAATCACAAGAGCATTGTGTTTAGAAATGGTCTGAAAGTCAACTAAAACTCATCTAAAATAAAGCAACTAAAGTCCAAAGAGAACTTAAAAAACCTTAAGAAAGCACGATCAAAACGACTTCCTGGTTATACATCAGTATTAACTGGAAGTCTGAACTGAAAGCCACAAACTTGCTGAAAAGCTCCGCAGAACTTCTGTGTTTGCGTAATACCTGTGGTGAGCTTCACGCCGATACTTCTTCATGGCCTGACCGTCCATGTTGGCTGGTAGGTCTGCACAGTTCTGCAGACGGTCACTCCACGAAGTTGTCATCTTTAACCGTTAATGTTTCTGCAGAAAAACACAAGGTTGCTTATGAAAGCAGAACCGGTCACATGTAGGAAACGTAATGCTGCGATTGTGTAACAAAGCCATCTGCTGGTTGAGACCGTCTGCATCTGATCAGGTGCAGCTTTGCAAACCTAAAGCTGCCATATATGTTTCCATGGCTGTGACTCTGAAATTTGTTCATGTTTGATCTGTTTTTATTTAAGTCCAGTTCATTTTCCTATTAAGTTTCATAATAAGTGATACATTTTATAATGCCCTCTCCTTGGGCTGCTACCTTATCGTGGTGGAGGGGTTTGAGTGTCCCAATGATCCTAGGAGCTATG